GAGGCGCTTAGGCCTTGAGGGTGCTTGGTAGGCGTGTGAGCGGGGCCAGCGACACACCGTGCGCCGCCTTGGACGCGAGCGAGTGCTCGGTCGACGCCTTGACGTCCGAGCCGAGCACAACCTTGGCGAGCGCCTTGGTCTTGGCGTTGGCAGCGACGACCTCGACGAGCGCGTCGATCCAGTCGTACATTTCGTTTTCGTTGGCCGCCGACAAGAGCAGGCGGCGAGTTGGTGTGGTGACGCCAATGCGGTAGATGGTCGAGCCGGACGAGCCCGTCTTGATCGCGTCTTCGGGCATGCACTCGATGGCGTCGACGCCAATTGCATCGAGGCTCACGGCGCCCTTGAGCTGGCGCGAGGCAAAGTCGTAGTACGAGAGGTGAGTGGCTGTGAGCTCAAAGTAGCGCGGCTTCCAGTTGCGGCGGCCAAAGAGGCCGGCGCCCGACCCCTTCTTGTGGAGCACACCGGCCTTGAGGATCGTCGTAGTGGTCGGCTGCATGAGTTGCGGTCGTAGTATCTGCGCAAAACCGAGCAAATTCGAGACTGAACGAGCGTGCATGCGAGCCAGCCCGCGTCCCACGGGTTCGCAAGTGCAAAGTCACGGCCCGTATCGCATGCGCACTTTGCATTCAATATATTATTGTCTACGGTTCCGTATAGGACGGTCCCTATAAAACACAACGCGCAATAAAAATATAGGGGGACCTACCCATTTTGTGACAATTCATCCAACGTGCTGTCTGCAGGTTGTGGTGTATCGACGACGACAACAACCCGGTTAGTATTGCACCTCAAGGATCACAGAGACGTGAATACTTCTGCACAACCCGCGCAGTCGACGACGACAGAGAGCCACGTCCCCGCGCGATACATTTGTGTCGAAATCCGACAAGCAAGCAATCGATACGGTGCAGTCACCGCGATTACAAGGCGCGCCATCCACGACATGGGCGATGGCATCGAATGATGGTCGTCGTGGTCAATCGCACGTCAGCATCATGCCCCGAGTCCGATGCAGCCTCGCGAGACGATGGCGTCAGTGGACAGACGCGACGTCTTAACATCCGGCACCCGCACAGTCCAAGCCTGGGAACGTTCTTGAGTCCCATCGTTAGCAATTGTATTAGCATCGTAGGTCGTTCGTGCGGCCCTCGATCTATCTTGCGTCAGTAGCACTCGTTGGCGACGTGGTCTATTTTACTAAGTAGCATCGACGTGCACACACATGGACTCTGCCCCTCGATGTAGCAGATCGATGCAGCGGATGCGGCCCATACAAAGAAGCTATTCATGGTCGCCCATCGCCGTCCAGTTCTTTCCTTGATCGCCGTGCACGTTGATGCATACGAGTACCTCTGTGTCGGGCTGTCTGCGGCCGATTGAGCGAGCTACCCTTCACAAGAATCCAGCCAGGATAGCTACATACCGGTACACAAGATACTAAGTTCTCATAGAACCTGCAGTACCGGTACTCGGCCTGCGCGCGCGTTCAGAGGCGTTCGTTTGATATTTCTCACTGCGCACGACCGCCGCCACACAGTAGTAGGTCCGACGACAGAGGCAATCTCGTCCGTCCCGAGACGGATACAAATGAGCGCTGATCTCCTGCGCTGGCAACCTCAAGAAAAGGCTTCAACAGCAACGGCGCGGCCGAGATGCAAGCATTTTCTGGTGCGCTAGCCATCCATGCGCTGGCTACCGCCACGATCTTGGAGAAGCAAGAGGCAATGTGATGAAAAGGAAAGCGGCGCAGGACGCCATGGCTTCGATCGCCACGGCTGCGTCGCGTATATTGGATAGATAAGTAGTTTTGGGATAAATAGTCGTCGATACAGGTCGTCGTCTTGCTTGACGTGCGTCCTCATAAATACCAGCGCGTGATCGCTTAGACCAGCTGCAGCTTGGCGAGCGGCACCATGGCAAAGCTGCTGTTGCGCACCGAGTGCACGCGCGAGTGGCGCTTGCAGACCACGTACTCGGGGCGTTCGCTCGCGAGCACAATCTTCTTGGACGGGCTCGCCATGCGAACGTCGGCGGTCGACGGTCCGAGGACGCCCACGAGGGCAAGGAGCCATTCGTTCATTTCCGACTCGTTGGCGGCGGAAATGAGGAGGCGGCGCGACCCGCTGCGGATCGCAATGCGCCAGATCGTCGAGGCCGACGAGCCCTTCTTGACGGCGTCGCTCGGCATGACCTCGAGTGCGTCGACTGTGAGCGCGGCGAGGTTGAGCTGGCCCTTCTGCGTCCCGTTCTGGTAGCTGTACCAGCGCAGGTGGTGCTCGCTGAGCTCAAAGTAGCGCGGCTTCCAGTTGCGGCGCTTGAAGAGGCCTTGGCCCGACCCCTTCTTGAAGAGGACGCCGGCCTTGACAAACGAGGGGGACGTGGTCATCACCATGGTGTGCTGTGTGTGTACTTGGAGTCAAAATGAGATCTGAGCGGTGCTCCACTCGTCCAACACTCGTCCGACGCGCACCGGCGATCTGATAGTGCCAGCGCAGAGTACGGCCCCCTACGTTTGCGTTGTTGACGACGATGACTAACTGAAAATATACCTTGTTTAAAGTATTGCGTGTCGCAGCCCCATGGCGAGGCGGGTCCCCCACCGGGTCCGATGCGAATGGTCCGGGCAACCAGATGGGTCCTTTGGGTGCGACGGCACTGAAATTTCACCAGGCGGAGCGTCCCATGGCGCGCGCGCATTATCGCAGACGTCGGTTGTCAATCCCTGCAACCCATGCACTCGCTCTCTCGCAGATATGCAGCGTACAATTGATCGAAAATTGCAGTCGATTGCAGTGGCGATGCACTGGACACCACTCAGTCAGCCACGCAGTGAGGGAATGAATGGGTGGCACGAAGGGTGTGTGCGATTTCGGTCCAGACGACGAGCACAAATCATCGGGTGCCACTCTTGGGTAACGAGCAAGTGCAAAGTGACAGACCACGCACGGAGCGTATACACATTCTTGGATTGCTATCATTCATTGCTGCGGCCAAAGCGGCGCGACGAGTAATAAAGCTGCCCTGTGGCTTTAAAGTCGAGTCCATGGGTTGTGATCGCTGTCGCGCATGTTTACTATGAGGTCGCGTGGGTGGCGAGGTTCGAATTCCCAGACACGACGAGGTTCGATGCTGGACCGACTGGATGGCGAGACGAGGCGTGCAGGATCGGTCGCCCCCTCGAGTCCAATTGCATTGTGCTGAAGGGGTCAGTGCGTTACTGCATCCACAGAAAGTGTCGTCGTCGGGGCTCGGTACTGGCCCCACGACGTTTCGCGGCCTCTCGCCCTTGTCGTCCTAGGCGCAGTGAGCCTCCAGTGCTACCACACAGTACCCGGCGAGCTCCAAGCAAGCAAGGGTCGGCGACATGCTTCTATCATCGACGACGACGGCGACGGAATGATCGGGGACTGCATCAGAAGACAGGGGATGTGATCGAACGCATACTAACCCACACGAGATACTACTTCACCTTCAAGAAACCTAGAGCAACAAGTAGGGCATGTGTCACGTGCAGTGTCCACAAGTAGTTCAACAACAAGAGCGCTCTACCAATCCACTTTGACTCCGCTTGATGAACCCTTCAACAAGTTGACGTGTCGATTTGCGATCGACAAGCCCGTACAGGCCTACGACCAACATGGTGCGGATCACGTTGGCGCGTCATGCCCAATGCCATGCAGGTCCCTGTTGCTGGCGCGGTTGTGTCGGTGGCGGCAACAACCGAGCGATCGTACACGCAGAATGAAGGTGGCGCTGGCATCATTTATGTACCGCATCAGTACCGCTACAGCGAAACCCGACGCACACCGCATGATATTTGCTTTCAGAGCCATTCACTGGCCTCGAATCCTTGCATACGCATCCCTACAGTATGTGGCCGGCGGCTGCGGTTCTCAAGACCTCTACACTGCTGTCGGCTGAAACGAGGTGCGAGATTCAAAGACCACCGACCTCGCCGGTTGTGGAGCTTGGCAAACTCGACGGACGCTTTTTGATGGACACTATTTGGCAGGAAAGAATGCAAGTCCCATGACTCTTTTGTGCGTCGGCGTCGTCGGCTGCTGGTCGTGAACGTCCACGCACTGCTGCTGGGCTCATCGGCATTAGATACCCTACCCCGTTCTACACCCGCAGAACAATAGTACATTCTACTATCGTGTCGCCAGAGCTGGTGACTCGGAGTATAAAAGGAGGCGTCGCAGTCCAGAGCGCACACACACCGCTTGAACGCATCGCATGTCGCGCAGTTGACATAAACGAACGCGTGCGCATCTCGGACACTCTGCCTCCTCTGACCACGCGGCCGCACTGATATCGCGCTGCCAAACACACCACGTTGCTGAACGCTCTATGAATTCATCGACGGTGTTTTATATCTACCTCGTTCTGTCTCAAAGAGTAGAGCCAAATCTCTTATATATATCTACTTTGTTTTTTGTCATCAGGTATTGCAAACTCTCGTATACAAGCAGGTTGACGCATAGCGAGGAGGCTCCAAGAGGATCATTCATAGTCGCTTGCACTGCGATGGATCACATAGAGATAATCTCGCTGCGACGCGTTGAGTACAGCGACTCGGGCACCAACGCATGCGTTCCAGTGGCAACGTGCGGCGAACTATCCGCAGACTCATGCGTGCCGATTGCAGGATCAGTCGCAGTGAGACCCACGTCATCGTCGCCAGCGCTCGATGATAACTGGCGACGATGACGTGAGGTGTATTTGCTGCTGACCACTGCATATCTTCTGCGGCTGGAAGCTCCTTCCTCGCGATCCAGTAAGTCGCCTGGGGGAGAGGCCGGGGAACGGGCTGCACGACACTTGATGCATATCGTGCCTCCTGCAGAGAAATTTTCTCTGCAGGAGGCACGATAACACAGCACGCAAGGTATTGCCGCCGCGTTCTTTCGGTACATTGCGGAAACCTTGCTGGTCGCATTCCCGTGGTCTGCGGATCCTGTGCATCTTCTCATTCTTTCTACTGGAATGGATTGATTGGTCTCATACTATATGTAGTTCTCTCGCGGCCAGCATTATTGTTGCAGTCCTGGCGCCAGATCTCCAGAAGACTGGACGATCTGCGCAGGGTGCAGCCGTCCATCAATATCAGGGAAGCTTGCGTGCGATCGTGCACCAGCTACAGCTACAACGCACGTCGGCTGAACATGCCAAATCCGATGCTGGATTGATTCTTACGTACACTCGTGCCGCAGCCTCGATCCAGTGACTGTTTGCTCCTTTGCAATCGAACCAGCCGCATCGTTTCCACTAGGGACCACATAGGAAAACGTCCATGGCAGCACCACACCCATGGCGGTCGTAACTCGGTGACAGCTCGAGAAGAACGGCGACCGTTGACGCGCTCGACAAACTCGAGGCGCAGCTCAACACGAGCCCGTCCTCAACTGGAAGAGTGCGCACATGTTCACTGCTTCTAACATCCAAGCGCCTTCTCGGGCCATCGTTCGAGATCGATGGACTTTCTACGTGTAAATGGCTTGTAGCCAACATCTCTGCCGTACTAGTATATACGTACGCGGAGCCAGCTTGCTGGCGTCGGTGACGCGATTGCTCGCCGCTACGAAGCCCACTCGCAAAGGACGCGTCGTCGACGTCGAGTACTCCAACGCCGACGCCGGCGAAGAGTGTCCGACGCCTGCGCCCACCACGCCAGTATCTACACATCGTCCGGCCTCGAGCGCGCGTTCAATGACCACTGCGCGAGCATGCACGACGAGCTCAAGGTGCCCACAAAACGATCATTCTTGAAGAAGCTCGAGGCAACTGCGCCCGTCGAGCAGTCGCATGGCAAGACGCCCAAGGTGTCGGGGCTGTTTGGACAACAGGGCTTGCTGTTTACGCATGGCTACGCGAGAACCTTGTTCCGGCATGTGCCGTTTACACGCCACGTCTCCTGCTCGGCTAAGCCTCTCGGCGGCCGGCTCGTCGTAGCACCTTGGAATCGCTAGTCCACCACCAAATCCAGTTCAGTGTAAATTATACTAGTATTTAAATAGACTCACTTCAACAACAGGGCTTCTCCGTCCCGCCGTTCTCAAGCCCTGTTGTCCAAACAACCCCGATGTCTTGGGCGTCTTGCTGTGCGGCTGCTCGACGGGCGCAGTTGCCTCGGGCTTCTTGAAGAATGGTCTCTTTGTGGTGCGCAGCTTTGAAATCGAATTCAACGTGGGCCTCTACTATGCAAGCTATGAGTAGGAACGGTACCATACACTGCAACATGACGTACCGACGAGGTTGTCGACGAGCCCATGGCGCCTTGACCTCGCACGACTCTTGTTGGCACGTCCTGGCTGCGCGACAAGCTGCCTGGCTTCACGGACAGTTGCAGTTGGACGATCGCTCTGGTCGTGGGGTAAAAAGGGCGGCTAGCCGGCGCGTCAATGCTGGACATCGGCGCGTCGTTGTCCCAGTGGTGCTCGCGCATCTTGGACGTCGCCTCCTTCGAGTCGAGCAGCGACTTGGTCGACACCATCTTGCGCTTGCAGGGCCCGTATGCCATCCCGTCGGGGGCATGGCTCGTCGTCGTCGAGCATGCGGTGAGCTAAGCGGAAGCTCCACCCAGCAATTCCTGCAGAGCATGACCCACATCGATGCCCACGAGTAGGTCTCTTCTCGTGAGAGTCGATGTGGATCATGCTCTGCAGGAATTGCGGGGTGGAGCTTCCGCTTCGGCGCGGGCGCGACGCCGGGACGTCGCCATGGGTCCGGTCGACCATGCCCGCGGTCTTGCACTCGGCAAATTGGCAAATGGACCCAGAGCCGTAGTATTTGTTTTATATTCAAGCGAAATAGAATGCGATTCCACACTTCTACCTTGTATTTTGTAGCCACCAAGCGATGCTTTTATTTTAATATTGCTTGGCCCATCAGCTGACATGGGCAGCTTCCACTTGTGGGAGCTCGGCAGGGCTGGGAGCTCGGGCCGTTGAGGTACTAACAGTGTACTACATATCAATTCGACAGGATTATGAATTGTGCAGAGGTTGTATTTTTTTAAATGCCGCATATCACACGCACGAGACGGCGTCGGGAAGCGGCTCTTTTGAAAATGACGCGCGGTCAGGGTCTCGTTGTGGCAGTTGGCGTGATAGAAGTCGAGGATGCGGATCTTCTCTTGTATCTCGATCTTTGACTTTGTGCCACGGATTGCAGCGCCCCGCGCTGGGCCCTTGTTTTTGAACTGCCAGACCAATTCTATAAAAATATTCTGGTGATATATTAGGCCGAGAGTTTTATCGAGTTTCAGTGGTATGCTCTTAGAGAGCTTTGACTGTAGTACCGGTACGTACGCAGAGCCAACTTGCTGGCGTCGGTGACTCGATTGCTCGTCGCTACAAAGCCCACTCGCACCGAGTGATGGACTCCATGGGTGGACTCCACGTGAACCCAAGCTGACGTCACCAGCGTCCAAATCAATTGCACGCAAGTTGAGGTCTGGAGAATCTCCTGGTGCTTGGCGCGCAAGGAGTTGGAGTCGTCGGGGTTGAGCTTGTAGAAGAAGGACAGCGCATCGAACCGTCAAGAAGGCAGGGTTCTCGTCGACATCTTTTAGTCTATCGGTATCGACACTGGTTTACCACCAAGCGCAAGCACTGCCAGACTGTTGCCTGCATGAATGCACCAGAGCGATTCGAAGATATGCATTGCACTGGATGTGCAGGTGGCGTCATCTCCCTCCTGCAAGACAGGTACGTCGAGTGATCCACGTGCATTAAAGCTCGCCGCTCACCGTTTCCGACGCGCTTGCGCACAACAAGCAGCAGCGTGGCACATATACAAGATCAAGATCGGAGCCTCCTCACGCCCGCGGTCGCATCTGACGGTCCACTCAGGAAGTGGGGCTGTCTCCGGGACTCGAACCCGTGTCTACCTGGTGCTCGAGACCCAAGGACGTAGCGACAGGCCATCACGCCGCCTCGAGGCCAACCCAAGCCGCCATCGCTGGATAGCAGCCAAGACCATCGATGGTGTTCCGTTGCGCCGACTTCGCCAATGTGGTATTACCTCTCGTCTTCTTGCCCAGCACGCTCGCCACAAGAACCTGCCGTCGCTTTGTCGCCGTAATGACGCCCTTCGCCGCTGCGCAGCATGACCTGCACAGAGCCATAAGCTGTCGCTATTCGATGTCAATGGGTGGTGGCGGCGAGGCTGCCATCCGTGGCCACCCGCCAGCACCCAGCGCCGTCTGGCCACTGCCGCCGCTGCCCAAGCGTGCCACAAGAAATTGCGTGAATCTAGCATCCGCGCTGTGATTGGCTCGGATACGATGGCATTTCGTTGCAAATAGGTCAATTGATTGCCGGGTGACCCGCCCACCAAGGACCAAGCACCAAGATCTCGCGCTCGCCGTCAAAGCAAGTTGGTGGTGTCCATTCGTGCAATCGTACCGCAGGCGAAGACAGAGATCTCGGTGGTGGTAAACTACCGGTACATGGGCTTGCCTTAGCGTACGTGCTCGATTCAGCAATGATCCGATCGTTTGCATTTCAACCAATCACATCGCAGCGACCACAAACGCAGGTCGTTGCCAGCAATTTCCATCTTTCCAAAGACAGCAGCAG